AACCCACTTTTATTGCTGTTGATGATATTGTTCCCACTGTATGCCAATGATATCATTCTTCTGTGGCACAGTCGACTATACCATCTTTCACTTCGCCTGAATCTCTATCTACTATAGTACCAAAGGTTAACCCAGACTGTTCTATTAAATACCAGAACCCACTCTTATAGGGGACTCCTACATGATCTTGATGTAAATGTGTAACAACTCCTACATCGACTCTGGTGTGTCCTAATATAGACTTGACACGTTCAGCTATCTTCTTGCAATTCATAGAACCAGATGACGTCTCGCCAGCATCAATTAAGATGGAATATCCAGAGGGAAAAACTATCAGTTGGGAATCGGCTTGTCCAACATTAAAGATATGGATGTCCAGTTGCGCGGATGATAAAACACACACAACAAGATTTGACAACACAAGCTGGAACACCATGTTTGCTATTTTCAATTCGTCAAACTCTTTTTTTATACACAATAATTAATTTTCCTCTTTTACTCTACTATTTTGGGAAAACAATGGTAAAAAGGTTAAAACCCTATCAAATGCCTATTTTAAAGAATTATTTTGATTCAATTCAACAAATTTTTTTGTTTTCTTATTGTTGAAAAACTCAATTGTATTTTTTTGGTTTTTTGACGTCAATACTTTTGATTTTTGCTTTTTTTCCTGATTTCGTGGAATTTTAGGCGAAATGTTTTTGTCTTTTTTCTTGGTTAATTGAATTGTATGTATTTAAATAATACTATAAACTTTAGTTAAATATATAACAGATTTTAAGTTTGTAAAAACATACACAGACATTTGGTGATCTACAACAAAGAAGATAATGAAAAAAAACCACAAACAAACTATATATTATAATAAAATTATATATATAGTTAATTTCTCAAAAACGATTATTATAATGATAACTAGTTATTGCTATAATAAATTAATTAACATTACTAAATTAAATTAATAAACAAAACAATTTTAAAATAAAAATCACTAAAGGGAAACACTTCACCATAAAAGGTGAAAACAACAATTTAAATAATCAAATAACTAATAGAATAATTTTAATATAATACAACTATAAAACAACTATACCCAAAGGAGGTGAAGTATCGTGTCATTTTTGTTGTAAACAAGACTCAAAATGGACAAACAAAGAAGATGTCACTGAGTAAAAAGCACTTAGAGATTCCTTATTTGATCAATGTCTTACTTCATTTCAATTTTGAAACAGCTCGCCTGTTTGAACAAATCAGTCACCACTGTGGTCAGGCGATGATAGGCGTTCTTCGGAACCCATCGACGTACCAAGTCAGTGGGGAGAGTAAATCGACACAACTTATATCGAAGATCA